AATTATTGACAGCATTCTTGGAAACTTCTAGTTAGTGGAACACTGAACCTACCTTTTAAAACCCACGGTTCTCAGTTTTTTATGTATAACTTTTTTTCCCCCTAAAGTGCCCTGGAAATTGAAAAAAATTAAAAAAAATTCAAAAGAAAGTAAGAAGAACAAATTCCCTCCAAACTGATTGGGCAATATGCACGAGCAAAGCGGACAGAAAGCAAATTATCAGCCATCCTTAAAAACCACACTCCACATTACACAGCTCACATCCGAATCGTCCCTCTGCCCTATATATGCCTCTTCAGCTCCCTTTCCCCACCTCTCCTCAACAACATAAAATTTCACTTCCTCTGAAATTCTAGTAAATCATATATATATTCTGTTTTCTTTTCTTTTTCCCTTTCCCTCTATCCAAACAGACCTGGAAATCTGATTTGGCCGCCAATAGTTTCACTCTCCGGGTTCCTCAAATCATCGCATTTAAAATTTTTAGATCCATTTAGTCATCGATTCGTAGGTTAGTCCGCTCGCTATTTTTCTTCTCGCCCTTCGGTTCTTCCGTTTGATTTTGAGAATCTGAATACATTCTTGTATTTCGTGTTTGATTCGAATTTCTTGCTGGATTCATTGAAGTTGTAGTGGTTTTGATTTTTGATTTTTTGTTCTAATTTGTTTCGGTGATCTCTGTTGCTAGTGCTAAGCACGTTGCCGGATTTTTGTTGCAGATCATTCTTCTTGAGATCTTCTTTTCTGGAGTTGGATTTTGTGCCTGCTACGTACCGACGGAAGCAGTCGATCTGGATTCTGTAAGTATTGTTTAATTGCTTAATAATGTGATTGGGAAGTGATTACAGAACTTATAATATTGCGAAAATACTAGTGATTAGTGATTTGTTTAAGACTGGAATTTGTAGGAAAATCAGCGGTTTATAATTTTGAATTGCGTTTCTGGAACATAGATTCCTGTGCCCTCAGATAATTAAAAAAAGACTAGTACTGATCTTTTTCTTATTTTTTTAAGATTGATTTAATATTAAATTATTTAATAAAAGACAAATTTTTTTATTTAATTTAAATTAAAAAAAATTTTATAAAAAAATTATTATTAAATTATTTAAATAGTTAAAAATATAATTTTTTAAAATACAAAAAAATATAATTATTTACATGTGTCGACAACTACTTGTGTGAATGTTATGTAAATGTTGGTTGTTGATTTTTTTTTTTTTTTTTGGGTTTTAAGTGTCATTAGCTGTTATGAAGTGATTTCTGCAGTAAGATAGACACGAAAAGTGTTTCTTGATTTGAAATTGAAGATAAAGAATATGGAATAGGTGGACGGTAGGCATTTGTAGTTGAAGATGAGGGCATAAAAAGGTAATTTGGAAATTTAGGTGTAGAATGCATGCCGATGTTAGAAGATAGTTGGAACTGAGTCAGAAATGCTGTCTTCAAAAGTTCTTATGGAAATGAATTTCATTGGCTGTTCAATTTACATGAGTCTAACTACTCTAATGGAATAATGAGAAAGTTTTAGTAACCAATAAATTTACTGGCACAGTCGAATTAAGAGTTAATTCTAGATGAATATACTATAGGAAAGAAATGGGATGCTATCCGATGTTATTTTGAGTTTTTATTGGGTATTTTTTTTTTTGAAAATTGAAGGCAAAGAAGAGCTGCAGAGCAGCAATGAGATTGAAAGAGAAATTTTTTATTTGGTGCTAGCAAGAATTAAGTAGTTCTCGTTAGGATAATGGATTATAATTCTCAGAATTTAGGTTCAGAAAAAAACTTATTGGATGGTCCAAAAATATCAGTTCAATCGGTAATTAATTAATTTGGCCAAGAGTCTCTCTGAGGTCCCTTTCTCATGGGACCCATAATTGTGCAAACCAATCCTTCCTGCATGGCTGACAAGTTTATGACACACTTCAAGTTCTCTGGCGACCATGTATTCTTCACGAGCACTGCATTCTAGGATCCTTTACTAGTTCTCCCTTATCACAGCAATAATAATACCAACTCCACTTGCTTTTCTTTTACGACAGAAAAGTACAAAGATGAATGCCAGTCTTTGCTGTCAAAGTGTTAATTTCTGGTCTTGCTGCATTTCCTTCAGCCTAGCTTTTTGTACATCTAGTCACGTGTATGCTCATCCTGGGTTCTGCCTATTTTCTGTTTTTGCTACTAGGACAAGAGAGTTCTATTCTCCGTATATCACCTCTTATCTTTTAGAAAACAATTTAAACAGATATTTCCACAATTCATCACCAATATTGAACACCGAATCCATAAGGTTTTCCTCCTAGCCAATCACTGAAGATTAACTATCATTTTCGCTCGGATATTTTTGATATTTGTATAATAGAGCAAGTTGCTTTAGCTATGTTTTTCACATGCGGAATTTTATTGCTATATTTTTTTATTTTCTTTCCGTTTTCCGTTCTTGCAACGCCTGTAGTGCACATATATATAATCCTTGTCCATATCCCTGGATATTTGGTTATTCCCACCCGAAGCATTTTGTGTCAATGCTTGTCCAAAATCTCTGTTAAATTGTCATTCCACATATGAAGTTTATTCACAACAAAATTTTTGCAACTTGCAACATCTTATCTATCTCAGGTTTCTTTTATTAAAAAAATGTCATGCATTTCAGTCCGCAAAATATTAATCATTGGATAATGAAAGCTCTTAATTATGTGTTGGACTGTTCCCTCCATCCAATGATTAGTGTTGTCCAAATTTCAAAACACTGGCGTCTTCTTTTATTCCATATATACAACAAAGTCATCTTCTTGGTAGGAGGGGTGGCAAGTCTTTTTTCCACTAAACTCATTGTAGGTGCTAATTGTTTTCTAATAATGCTATGGTTGACCCGGTATTATTCAGTTTTTCTTTTAAGAATTAGATTGGAAATAGGTGCAAACAAAGCAAATGGTTTTTCTCTTTGAATTATAACCTTATTACTAGAACGTGTTTTTACGTTTTCCTGCCAATTTCTAAGAACTGAGGACCTAAAGCTGGAAATGAATTTTTCCTTCACTATGTATTTTCCAGTAAGGCAACTTGAGAAAATGTTTATTCTGTCACCTAAAACATTGTTAGGAAGTTAATATCCCCATAATTCACCTCTAAATTTTCTGTTTAGGATTTTGCCTATCAATTATATAAATTAGAAACACAAGTATAATCATCAATTTGGAGCAAGTGACATAAACAATTTATATATATTTATGAGAAAAGTGTATATTAGTTTCGACTTCCAAAATAAATTAGAGTATTAATCTTAAATTACTCATTTTATTTAATTAAAATTTAATACAAAATTTAATAATTCATTTTATTAAATATTAATATTTAGATTTAAAAATTGATTATATTAAAATATATAATAAGTTTTTATATTTAGATATTAACATTTAATAGAATAAATTTTTAAATTTTAAATTAAAATTTTAATTTTTAAATATAAATTGAAACTTTAATTTTTTAAAAAATCAGAATTGATATATACTAATTTCTATATATATATATAGATCTAATTTAATTTGTTTCTTGGATGACTTTTTGAAAGGTAAATGTTGGATGACCAACCTCTCGATACCATGAACAAATTTTGAGAATTGGAAGAATATGCTTTTGTATTGCTTAATTTTTTCCATATGTAGAGCGGAGGCAAATATATGTATACAAAGAGACAGCTGTCCTAAATCATTTATAAGAAAAATTATATAATTAATTCAATACAATAATAATAAAAATGTAAATCAAGAAATCAGTGGAGAATAATTTGTTTCCTTAACAGGATCTAAGGATTCTAAATTTCTGCCTTTTATCCTGAGCCATGTCTTGCTTCAATGTTCCGCAGAAAAAAAAAAAAAAAGAAAAGAAGTTTCAATTTTCTTCCATTACATATTTAGACTGCATATTAGATATTTTCCACATACTGTATAAACTACTTGTGGTAGCACAAGTTTTTCCTTTTTTATTGTTTTTTTTTTGTCTCTTGCGTGATATAAAAATTATGCTTGCATCTTGTACTTTCTGAAGTTAGAAGTTAGGAAAGTGAGAGATTTTGCATCAAAGATGCAACCTAATTATCTTCTTTAGCTTTCTGATTCATTTTCTTAGCAATTTTAGTACAAACAACAAAGTTAGATGTCAACATTCCCCGAAAGATATTACTTACCATCTATTCGTTATTCGTTAAAAAACTTTTGGTAACATGGATCAGAAACCCAGACTGTCCTATCTGTATTTATTTCTATTGTCTACCCATTTTTTTATACATGAAGTTAGCAGTAGCACGTTAAGCTATAGTATGAGGTCAAATTGAAAGGTGGTGTGATGTTTGTAAGTTCACTGCTAATTGACTAAGCAAGACTCGCTTCCGTGTGCTTTGGGTATTATAATAAAATATTCTTCCATGGAAAATTTTCACTTCTAGTAACAGACAAGAGTCAGCATCTAAACGAGAATTATGTGTAACTAGTTACAATTGTAGTTCACATGCGTGCAATCCGTGTATAATCCTTTTACAATCCATTTCTCTAGAGACCAAGAAATACGCCAGCTGAAGTTGAATTAGGACCCACCCAGAAAGCTGTGCTATGATACAATATATCTTTTTTTTTTGTTTTTTTGGGTAAATAACTGATTTTATTGAACCTGACCCTTTGGGTCAAGTGACTGTAGCCACGCTTTTAAGGTTCATATCCCCTCCTTCAGAGCAACGGTTCGAGCCAGTCCCATGACAAAATGTTCAAAAAAAATATATATAACTGATTTTATTAATAATAACACAAAGCTATATCAAGGGGGTGGAGAGAAGATAAAATAGATCCTTCCCCTTTTCTTGACCATTTTGTCATCAAATTTTATTACTTTCCTTCGCATTATACTTAAACGTATTTTTTAAGAAAATCAGCCTTGACTTGTGAGTTGAGTTGGTTAAAATATTATTAATAGATTAATTAAAAATTATTTTATAATTTAAATTATATTAAATTACAAAATAATTACTTTTAAATTAAATAATGAACCCTAATATTAATTTTTTTTCTTTCATCTAAAACTTTTAATTTTATAGTTTAATATAATTTAAAATATAAAATAAAAATTTATAAATTTATTTTTTAAAATATTTTAAACTGATAATTTTAAGTGTGGACAAAAAAAAAAAGAGCAGTCTCTATTACTTTAGTTTCCTAGGTGATCCAGCGGGTCCGCTTGCAACATATCTGAATTTTTGTTAAATTTTTAACATAGATTTATCCTGACAAGGAAATATTTCCTCTGGTAGTAAAAGATTTCTCTTTATTGTTACCAGCGGTAAGGTTTTTTGCTGTACCATATAAATCTTACACGAGTATCCTGCTGTTCCTTCTCCTTTTTCCATGCTTTCATAAGTCACTGCCAGTTAGGATTCCAGAGTCTTCATCCTCCATCTTCTCTCTTTGCTTAGGCTTTTGTTGAAAACTTAGGAGCCATCTCAACTAATTTATACACTGGACGCTAAAGCATACCCAGGTCAGTCTCTCGGTCAAGAATTTTGGTTCTTATTTTTTTATTCTAGGAGTTGGTTTCAAAAGTTTCAAGTTTGATTCTTTTCTTGCTTCACTAATTTTTTCTTTCCTTTAAATTTGCAAATATCATGTGAATAACGTTTTCTTTTCTCAACCTTCCAATAAATTTCTTCCAATGTGCTTGTTCTAAATCCAAAAAATGGGTCTTGTTGAATCTTTCATTGGAGAAAAGTAGTCAGTGCCGTGGATGTCATCCTCTTTGCTAAGTCTCTACTATGCCTAATTTTATTTTATTTTATTTTTTATTGTTTTGAAATATTGGATTATAATGATTTAGAGTCCTCGTAGACCCCATTTTCATGGCTCAAATTCTGTGGATCCCATTCACTTTGTTATCTTTTTCTCACCGCCCTTCTGTCTTTTTGATTGCATTTATTTGATTTTTTTAATTAATTATGATTATTCTTTAAATTCAAGCAATGGCAAGAATTTTGTAACTGGCGGTACAAATTTCAATTACTTCTTTTCTGATTTAATTGTTACTGTAATCTTGTGTTGCAATACATAATACGGTGCAGACACAGAGCTTTCTGTGGTTTATGGCGTGTATTTCGGGTTTAACTTACTTAAAACAAAATGTAGGACATACAGTTGTTCTGAGAGCTCATAAAATTGGTATTGGCGGTTTGCTTCTAAAGTGAGCGTATGCCTGGGAACCAGTACAACGGTAATTCGACCCATATACCGCAAAACCGTGTCGGAAGGCTCTTGAAAGAAAGGGAGCTGCTGAGAGAGCGAAGGAAAGGCCGGGCTTATCTTTCAAATGATGTTACTGATGATCATAGGGGGAGTGACCCTTCTGAGTATGACCCATCCTCTACAGAAGGTGACAACTATGGAGGACCACCTTATGTTGAACGACACTTGGAAGCGGCTGCAGCTGCGAGGGCGCTAGCAGAGGAATATGAAGGACATGATGGCAGGCCTTACAGGCAGAGATTGTTGGTGGTGGCAAATAGGCTTCCCGTTTCTGCAGTAAGGAGGGGTGAAGATTCATGGTCACTTGAGATAAGTGCTGGAGGTCTAGTTAGTGCTCTTCTGGGTAAGATACTTGATAAGGTTAATTGGTTTCATGTGTCATTTTCATCTTCTGACATTTTCTGTTTTGGGCTCTAATAGGACCTAATGTATTTTAGATGAATTTTTCAAGGTGTCAAGGATTTTGAGGCAAGATGGATTGGTTGGGCGGGTGTAAACGTACCAGATGAGACTGGACAGAAGGCACTCACTAAAGCTTTGGCTGAAAAGGTATATGGTCCTGTTGTTAGATTCTCTTTGTAATTTAATTTGTGATATAAATTCATAGACAGTGGAGATTAGAAGATACTTGTTACTGCAATTATTACAGAGGTGTATTCCAGTTTTCCTTGATGAAGAGATTGTCCATCAATATTATAATGGCTATTGCAACAATATCTTGTGGCCTCTTTTTCACTACCTTGGGCTTCCACAAGAAGATCGCCTTGCCACCACTAGAAGCTTCCAGTCTCAGTTCGCTGCATATAAGAAGGCAAATCAAATGTTTGCTGATGTTGTGAACGAGCACTATGAAGAGGGTGATGTTGTCTGGTGCCATGACTACCATCTTATGTATCTTCCTAAATGCCTAAAGGAATACAACAGTAAAATGAAAGTTGGCTGGTTTCTCCATACACCCTTCCCTTCTTCTGAAATCCAGAGGACGCTACCATCCCGATCAGAGCTATTGCGTTCTGTTCTTGCTGCTGATTTGGTTGGGTAAGTTTCTATCATATTTTGTAGTCCACCATGAACTCTTATTCTTTTGTGCGGATCTCACTAACGATCAATATCCTGTAGTTTAAGATGCAAACACTTTATTAATAGCCCTATTTTAATATAAAAAATTTGCTAAATCAATATGTTCCATTGTGTTTATGCAAGACCTATTGTTTCATATTCCTCCTGTTGTTAGTTCTCTTTGCACTAATCTATGCTCAGCCATTTGTAAATTTTAAGAATGATATTTCTTGTCTTGATTAATCCAACTAGTATTCAGTTTTAGATGTGTTGTCTGCTTATATTATAGTTACCATGGTTGAAGTAGATGTTTAATAGTTCAAGAATCACATGTTTTTTGTTGGTTCCAGAAAAACCTGTCCTCTTACAATTAAATTCTTTGAAAATTCACTGAGAGAAAAATTGGAGAAAGAAATGAACTCTTTTTATTTTTGTTTGTTAGATAGATTTAAAATTTCTGTTTAGATTTTAGAATGGTTGTTAAGTTTTACATTGGATTTGACTATCATAACCATTCATGCTTGATTATATATATAACATGCTAATTTGTAATGATTGAATTTTTCTTTTGTTTTTTGTTTTCTTCCCAGTTTTCATACATATGACTATGCAAGACATTTTGTTAGTGCTTGTACTCGTATTCTTGGACTTGAGGGGACACCTGAAGGAGTTGAGGATCAAGGAAGGTTGACTCGAGTTGCTGCGGTATGTTTGATTTGCTTGTATTGTTCCATTTGGTTACTGCTATGCTTTTATTTAATTGAAAGCTGGTTACTTTTTGGTGCTTTACCAACCACATTGGGTAAATTATTTATATTTCCTTTACTGAAAGAATTCCAATTACACTGTACTAATATTTTGGTTCTTTAATTGCTTGAAACTTCAGTTCCCTATTGGGATAGACTCAGAACGGTTTAAACGAGCTCTTGAGCTTCCTCAGGTCCAACAACACATCCAAGAATTGCAAGAAAGGTTTGCTGGCAGAAAGGTACATTCTTTATCATGTCACTAATGGAGTCTGTTTTGCTTGTTAGTTTCCAGTTTTGAACCCACATCTTGTTGGTTTGAATAAATTTAATTGAGGTTTGATATGGATGGTGGAACATTTTATTGTGTTTAAGGTAACATGCTCTTTCATGAGTAAATGGTAAATTGATCTAATTACTTTGGTTTACATGATACCTCATTCTATCTCATTCTACGAGTTCAAAGCCTCTTTTTTATTATTTTATTCATTTTGATTAATGATTAACAAGTTCAAAGTTCGAGCTGTGTATTTCTGAGCCAATTTGAAAAGCTTTGGGTTCTCATATGTGTGGCTCATCTGCAGCTAGATTTCCCTTTTTTGTTTCCATGATCATTCAAAAGAAAAATGAAAAAGAATCTTTTGCCTACCTTTTTTGTTACACTTCCAATCCTTGTTGGTGTTTTCTGTTTATTTATTAGAAGCTGTAGTAAAGCGTTATTCCCTAGTTGTATCATTTCATTTGTTCTGTTTTGTGCTTACTTCAACTGTCTGGGCTGGGCAGGTAATGCTAGGGGTTGATCGCCTTGATATGATTAAAGGAATTCCTCAAAAGATACTGGCATTTGAAAAGTTCCTTGAAGAAAACCCTAATTGGCGTGATAAAGTGGTTTTACTGCAAATTGCTGTGCCAACAAGAACTGATGTTCCTGAGTGTATGCCTCTTCCTTTACTTGCTTTGTCTTGTTGATATTCACAAATAGGTTTAGTCCTGATTGTGCGCTGGTTGTGTCTGATGTGAATTCTTTTGGGGTTTGCTTTTCCCTTGCAAGTTGCTGAAGTTATTATATTTACTTGCTAATTTATGTCCTAGTACCTATGTAGTAGGTGACTGCAATCTGCTATCTAATTGTGTACTTTCACATTTAGGAACAAGAATAAGTGTGACTGCTGTCTTTTTCATTCCCTACCCTTTGGGAATAGGAATCCTCAGAGTAAGTGTAACAGGAATTCGTTGCCAAGTATGATGAGCTTCACAGAGAAGCACATGGGCTAAAACTAGATCCTGAGCATGTTAATACCCTGCAATAGCTAAGCAGAAACTTTCTTTGTTGATCAAAAACAAAATTGGCATGTCTAATGGAATAGTTTTCCCTGGGTGGCTGGGTGATAAGCTTTTGGATGTGAACCTGGCATAAGTCTGTTCTGTTTTTTAAGATGACATATAACCATTCTTCACATTCTTTCTAGAGATTCTAGCTTCAATATTGATAGTTTCCTCAACCCCTAGCCTAATGCAAGATTGTCTTTTGACAAAACTTGAAGGTAGTACAGTTCTCTCGTCCCATTGTCACTTGGCAAACATGTTGGCATAACTATGGTAACATGTCTAGCTTGACGATTTTTTTTAATTTTTTGAAATCATATGAAAAGCTCCTTGTCAGAATTGTCTCAGTGCAAGTCAAAGTCATTCCTGTGTTCAATAAGAAGTGTTGGGGCTACTATCTGTGTGATTACTTCTTAATAGCTTCTGCCACCCACCCCCCCCCCCCTCCCCCAAGGTATTAGCTTTTAAAAACATGTATGCCAATCTATGATCAGAAACTAATCAGTTATGATCATTTTTTTTTTCTTTTCCTTTGTGTTTGGAATTTTTTCAATTTTAGCTGTATGCATCTCAGAGGTGACAATACCTCTGAACGTAGACACTATCATTGTCATGATTATGATGTAATCTTCATAATTGCCTATTTATTCATTTCACAAACATATATTCGGACTGTTTTTAATTTACTTTCTTGCATTAGTACTGAGTATATGGCCTTTGTTAATTAATTTCATTCTTCAAAACGTGATTCAATATATATATATATATATTTGATAAATGACACATGATTCAATATTCATCAATTTTATCTTGCTGATCTAAATTCACAGATCAAAGGCTCACAAGCCAGGTACATGAAATTGTTGGACGAATTAATGGCCGTTTTGGAACATTGACTGCAGTTCCAATACATCATCTGGTAATTCTTAAATGTCCTAACTTGATATTCATACTTGAGATGATTAGTCTCATTTACTTAGGTGTTCACAATATGGCAATGTTGACTTGTCTGCTAGGAAGCCCACCATTGAGAAAATCAATTTTTTATTATGAAAAATTTTAAAGTAATTTTCCTTTCTCTGCAGGATCGCTCTCTTGATTTTCATGCACTATGTGCTCTTTACGCTGTTACAGGTACTGATTTTTATTAATTTATTTGAAATTTCACATCAACTTTTAGGCTATCATCTGCATTAACTGTTGAGTTAGGGCATTTTCATTGTTATTACTATTGTAAAAAATTAATTTATTGTCATGTTTTTTTTGGTGAAAATTCCTGTTTTTCAGAGACTATTAGCTTTCTGCATCTAGTTAAGACTTACACTTTTCCTGTACTTTAGGTCTTAAAAGGCTGATTGTCTAAATTTTGTGACTGATCAAGTTTATTACTTTTTGTTTCTTCAGATGTGGCACTTGTCACATCTTTAAGGGATGGCATGAATCTTGTCAGTTATGAGTTTGTTGCGTGCCAAGATGCAAAGAAGGGTGTACTCATTCTCAGTGAAGTAATTACAAATTGAACTAAAGCTGTGATTGAGCTTGATTTATATGTTAAATATTTAACTACTGTATTTCCAGAAAACTGCAGAATTTTATAAAAATTCCAATATTTTGCTTTCATCTACTTGGCTAACCTAAAAAATACCTCAGCTGTCAAGAATTTTGATATGTTTTTAATGTGAGATAAAGCACACTTCTATTTCCTCTTTTGAAATTTCCCTTTTAACTTGTGATACCCTTGATGTGTGTTTTAGTTTGCTGGTGCAGCCCAGTCTTTGGGTGCTGGAGCAATATTGGTCAATCCTTGGAACATAACAGAAGTAGCTGCTTCCATTGGCCAGGCTTTGGACATGCGAGCTGATGAAAGAGAGAAGCGACATCACCACAATTTTGGGCATGTGACAACCCACACTGCTCAAGAGTGGGCTGAGACCTTCGTGAGGTAGACATACAATAATTTTGGTGGATTTGGATCTTTTTTCAAAATTTTCAGAAGAATTTGATTTTATCAAGCAAGCTGGATTTTCTGCAACATTGGAGGTTAAGTTAACTAGTGATATTTCATTTTCTGCTTACTTTGTGTGTGAGTACTTCCATCAGGGATAAGCCTCCGATTTTCTCTTAAAAATCAGAAAATCTTAATTATTTTGTGTTTTCCATTAAATAACCTGACCATAACATGAAACGGTTTTTTTTTATTGACATTTGTATGAATTATCATCATAGCTTCTGTTTTCTGGTTTCAAGTAGCTGGCAGTCCTAGATTATTTAAGTATTAAATGTTTATCTGGACTAGCAGATACTTTAGTTCTGTGTAAATGTTTTGCAGTGAGTTGAATGATACTGTTGTTGAAGCCCAGTTAAGGACAAGCAAAGTCCCACCAGAACTTCCACAAAAGGATGCAATTGAACGCTATTTGCAGTCTAATAACCGATTACTGATACTGGTATGTTATGTTTGGTCTGAAAGCCAAGTATTCTGTGATGTTGCCCCAAAGCCCTGTTTTGATTTTTGTACATGAACTTGTGGAATCAGGACTTCAAGATCATTGATATCAAGCATCTCTAATTTGTTATGGTGCCCTTCTTTTATACTGCAATTGTGTCAAATGCCATCATTATTGCCCACAAATGATGAAGATGTTTCCCTCTTGTATGTTTGTTTGTTCTAACCTTATTCTGTGGATACTAGATTTTTTTTTTCTTTTTTTATCTGTTCCGCCCATTATTATAATTCCTAAATTTGTCTAGGCTTTGAGACCTCTTTAGAATTTTGCAGAAAAAGGATAAAACTTTCAACGGATATTCATTTGCCACGTTTTGTGCTGTGACATGGCTGAGAAGTGTTGATAGAGAAACGTGAATATAGGATGCAGTTAAATTGAATTGAATTTGTGTGTCAGACTTAATATCTTAAATCGGAATATATGTTATTTAGTCAAAGTCAAGGTTTCTGGATTCTGAAACTGTGTACTGAGTAACTGCAAAAGTCATGACAGTTTGTCAAAATATTTAGAAAGTGAGATTGAAGTCATCATATGGGAGGACTAAGTAGTTAAGTACATAACTGACAATTTTATAGCTCTTGAGTGGTTATAAAAAGAGAAAAAGTACCCATGCATCTTAGAAGAGAAAGGGATACCATTCTTCTTAGTGTAGAATGATTTTTTTATTGTTGTTCTCCTATGATGTGGATCTAGTTCTTCATAAAAACCACAAAAGAAAATTTGCTAGAGATATTTAATTTGTTGGAACATAAACTTTTTCTAGAGTTCCTGGTAATTGTAACCGGCATATCTTTACGGTTACATTAATTATGAGAGCAACAAGGGCATAGATTAAATGTATATCTAATATTTTATTACTAGTTGTATGATGCCTTATAAAAAAAAAAAAAAAAAAAAAAATCTTATGTTTGTCCTCAAGTTTACTCTCCCTTGATTATGAATTTATGATGTTAGAATGATCTTTGCATCTCCTCTAACCTGAAAGTCTAACAACCTGTTTTTACATGATTAGTGATCATTCCAATTTATGAGATCTTAGCAGCCTTCTTTCCTTGCATACTGAGAATAAGATTTATGTTCTTTATTTCATTTAAACGGAAGTTGTCTAGTTTTGCTCTTAACAATTTGTGCTCTCTATTTGAACTAATGTGGTTGGTACCTTTGCTATGGTGGGCCTATCATACCTGGCTTTCAACATATCTTAGAGCTTAACAATGAAGATCTTACTGTTATCATTGCTTGTTGCTTAATGGGTTTTCTGTTCCTGTCCTTGCTGGTTGTTCAACACTTAGGGTTTCAATGCAACATTAACTGAGCCAGTGGATACTCCTGGGAGAGGAGGGGATCAAATCAAAGAGATGGAACTTAAATTGCATCCAGAGCTAAAAGAACCCTTAATGGCACTCTGTAATGATGGGAAGACAACGATTGTTGTTCTTAGTGGGAGTGACAGAAAAGCCTTGGATGAGGTATTTCCTGGCTTAATTTGTCTCCGTTACTAGCCTTGACATACCCACTACTTAGTCAGGTTATTTCTCTGACAGAACTTTGGAGAGTATGACATGTGGTTGGCCGCAGAAAATGGAATGTTTCTTCGCCTTGCAACAAAGGGGAAATGGATGACAACAATGCCAGAGCACTTGAATATGGAATGGGTTGACAGTGTGAAGGTGCTTATACTGAAACTTATGTTTCTACTTGTTTGTCTTTTCAGCCACTATAGTTATGGTCATTGCATGTTTGCAGCAAGTTTTTGAGTACTTCACAGAAAGAACACCACGATCACACTTTGAACTCCGAGAAACATCCCTTGTATGGAACTACAAATATGCAGGTACTTGCTAGTTGCTTCATAAGGTGTGGTTCTGCAGTTCTTCTATTCCAACCATTTTTTTTCTGTTTTCTTTAATGCTGTTCCCTGTCATCTATTCTGGTTGTAGATATTGAATTTGGAAGACTTCAAGCAAGAGATATGTTACAGCATCTCTGGACGGGCCCAATTTCTAATGCATCTGTTGATGTTGTTCAAGGTAGCCGATCAGTTGAGGTGCGAGCAGTTGGTGTTACAAAGGTAACTACATGTTGACAAACTCATTAATGTTATTTTGTGAATGTTTTCAGTTTACAGTTGGAGATACTTGTTTACTTATTTGACCATTCCATGTCCATTCAGGGTGCAGCTATCGATCGCATTTTGGGTGAGATTGTTCACAGCAAGTCAATGACCACGCCAATCGATTATGTCCTCTGTATTGGACATTTTCTTGGGAAGGTAGTTTTACAAAAACTATATTTTTAACGATTTTCTTACTTTGACCGTGAGAAATGCACTCAAAAGTTCATATATGACATTCTATGACATCTTGTTGAGCATGATTTTTAAGAATGCTAGAATGTGAATTCAATATTTCAATCTTTACTGCCTGGACTGTCGTTTACAATGAAGTATGCACTCGGACTAGCAAATTCATGGTAGGATTTATGTGAGGATCAAGCTCATTAATGTAGTCAAACCCTCCCTCTTCCAGACTAGGTATTATCTGATTGGTTTTGGTTTCCTTTGACTAAACAACTTTAAATTCTTTCCTCATTCAGAGATATAAGGATTTCCCTTTGGCAAATAGTAGGTAAATCATGAGCAACTGGTCATTTTTCTCGCTTCATTTTGATTTGTTTTGAGAAATGTTGAAGGGATAATGTTTTGCATTGTTAAAGTTGAAATGGAGATTGCAGAAATCCTTGCATTTCATATAGACATCGGTAATTTTGTCATGCCGATGTGATGATTTTCTTTACTTCATCAGGATGAAGATGTATACACATTTTTTGAGCCGGAGCTCCCCTGGGATGGCACTAGCATCACTAGAAGTAAACCAACTGATGGACCAAAGTTATCAGGGGAGAAAAGGACCGCTTTGAAACTTCCAGCGAGCAGGAGCGGGGGATCAAAACCATCTCAAACAAAGACACAGAGACCGGTGCCAAATTCTGAAAAAAGAAGCAATAATAACCACAGCTGGTCAACTGTACGGCGGCCATCACCAGAGAATATCTCCTGGAACGTGCTCGATCTTAAAGGGGATAACTACTTCTCATGTGCTGTCGGCCGGACTCGTACAGGTGCTCGATATCTGCTTCAATCCCCGGACGATGTTGTCTCGTTTCTAAAGAGACTAGCAAATGCTTCTCCATCAGAAAAATGATTCAGATTGAGTAGCGTTCATGCAAAGATGGTGTTCAAGGGACATGGTTGTAGCCACTAACAATAATGTTATGTCTATTAAAAATTGTAGAATATTATTTTTAAAAATATTAATTCTGTTTAATTTGATTGATAAGAATTATTAACAATTAATAATTAATAATTAATAATTGATAGAATAATTGATATTTATTAGCTAATAAATTAATATTTTTATATGCTGTTAAAAAAAAAAATTGAAACTTTGACGGTATTGACAATATTAAGAGTGGCAATTACCACAACCAACTCCAAGTCTGGAAGCGTGGTGCAGTGACTGGAGGAAATGTTGTAATCAGAAATCAAATATCTCGAGAATTGTGATGGCCATAGTAATTTCTTTTCCTCGTGGTTTTAAAACAGAAATCTTTTGAACAACAGTGTTCATTGTTAATTTTTCTATGAATCTCTAAGGAAAACAATCTATAGCTCAAACTTTCTCTCCCTTTTCGCTTCCAAATGAGCAATTGTTTGTTGGCCTAGGGTATCATGGCATTGGTATACTGAAAATGGAAGAACTTAAAGAGTTTCATTTTAGGGCCTGTTTGGTTTGCAATTGGTCCACAAAGGCAACTGTCTTGAAAATCTGTCTGCAATAACCTTTGTATGGTACATGCAAAAGGGTGATTGAAATTTTAAAAATAATTGGTTATTTGTAGAGTTAATGGGCTATATGTTTAGAAAGCATACCTTTCTTACATCATAAAAAATGAAAGCAACCTTTCTATATTTTTTAACAGGGAAGGCTTTTCAAGCAATGTAGTTGGTAAATACAATTTATAATCAATTGACAGCAGCTTCTTACATTTTTACTAAGAGCATGTATAATGGGATTTCATTTTGTTTATTTTTCTCAATTAAATTTTTTTATTTGAATATGTAAAATGTAAATTGAATAAAATAACAATAAAATATTACACAAGAGAAGTTATATATTAAAAGTATAATTTATTTTATAAATTTATTAAAATATCTTTAATAAAACTATTTTTTATGTTATTTTATTAAAAATATTTTAATAAATTCATAGAGTAATATAATCTAAACTATAAAATATAAAATTTTAAAAATAATGTTGGTGCGACTTAAAATAAAAAAATTTTCTATTAAGTGTTTTATTTTAAATTAAATATATAAAAATATAAATTTATGTAAAATAATATTAATTACGATGTTGTATCACCTACAAAACACCGAAGGAACTTTGTCATTGTACAATCACCAGGAATGAGGAATGATAAGAAAAAATAATTCAAACGGACTTACAATCACTTACTGAGACTATAGCCCAAAGTTGTTTGGACCTCAGCCTAACTAAAAAGCCTTGCGGCTTCATCCATGCTCTCGAATTCAATTCAACGCCAATTTCCTCTCTGGACGTATCAAGTAGACAAGCAACTGCAAGTATTGTTTCTGCAACTCTGCTAGCCTTCCCGTTTTATGCTGAAATCTTTGATCTTTCAGAAGAATCTTATATTTCGCGTGGTTTTTATAGCACCCATCTTGGCTATTGTCTTCCACTTTCTCTTTTCTGAATTCCAGTAACTTTTGGGTCATTCTCTTGAGGAAATGCGGTATCTTTTCAAGTTCAGTGATTGCATACAAACTGTTTGATAAAATGCTTCTAAGAGTACCATCTAAAACCATGGTGATCAGATAAAATGCTGAGGGAATAATCAGGCATTTGGTACTTGGTTTTATTACTTTCGAGGAAATGAAAATAATCAACCTTTGCTTATTTAATTGTTTGTTCTAGCCATATACTAGCAAGACCATTTTTATTTCCTGTGTTGTTTGAGTGCTTCTAAAGATGGTAATTTGAATTGAAGGGTATCCATTTCAATTTATATTTTTTCACATAATTTGTCTTTCTGGATTAGCTCCAGCAGATCCCAAGTTGCTGGCTCCATACTTTTTAGTCCTTGTAGGTTCGTGTGTTTATATAAGATCTATAATGTGGATAGAGGGAGGATTTTCCAATAACAAAAGGGCTACTCTTTTTATTTTTTATTTTTTATGTTCCCTGTTGTTTATTGGAATTGTATCTCTTTTTGAGGCTTTTGTGCAGCTACTCTTTTTATTTTTTATTTTTTATTTTTTATGTTCCCTGTTGTTTATTGGAATTGTATCTCTTTTTGAGGCTTTTGTGCACATGATTTTTCTTGCCTTACAAGAAAATGTGAAGTGAATTTTGTTGTGGTGACTGATTTTTTTTGTTAATACCTCTTTCAATTCTAAACTGATTAATTTCATTTTGAAGATTTGAAACGCTATTCTAATTTGCTTGTTACTTACTGCAGTTGGTGTAACTTTTCATGAGTAATTTCGAGGAGTTTGGATGAGCTGAGAGTTATATTTTCACCTAGATCTCTCATTGAACTCTTTGCAAAATAAAAGAAAATGTTTATGGCTGCTTGACCTGAGGTAAAGCTTGCACTTCATTTTTCTTATTCTTTATGATTTTTCAAGGATGTGTTTACACTCACAGTGGCTATTGTATATGATAAGTAGCAGAGATCATTTTCTTGGTCACTATGATTGGGGTTAGGCAAACATCACTTCTATTCCGAAGATGGGCACATTCATTGTCCCAGGATGGTCCTACAGAAACCTTGAAGATGAAGGTTGCTGAATTGGAGAAGATGAGGAAAAGGATGAAATCTAAAAAAAATCAGTTGTTTGTGGAGGTTCCAGAGTCGATATCATTCCTTGACACGGCCACACTGCCAATGGTCCTTGCTGTTGCTGGAATTGCTCTATTTGCAAAGCTCCTCATGATGGTATGTTATTTCCCACCGCATCAACACCACCACCCCTCCTTTGAACCACATCAGGAATTGGTTTTTGGTTTAATCCTTGCTTTCTAGTCAAACAGAATTGCTGTATGTATCATATAGGTCCACAACTGCATATTTTTACCCTTATGTTATTCATCTAAATAAGTTCAATAGGATTTAGTACTCTCTTCAATTTTTTTTTTTCATTGTGTAAGAAACAGATATTTGTAGGACCCAAATGAATCAAACTGCTCAAAGGAATGGAATATAGAAGGGACATGTTTTTCTTTTTCTTCTTCTTCTTCTTCTACCCTTTCTTTTTTCCCAGTTAAGGTTTTACCTTCAGCCCAGCTATTTTTTTGGTTTGT